CCTGTCCCTGTATGGCTACTCATCTTCTTAAATTGTTTTTAGGCTTGGCAGTTTTCTCATCTACCAATTGAAGGCACATACCTGAATGGTTATTAAGTACTTAGCTTAACATATTAGGCATCAACAGCCAATTAAAATGGGTTTCCTCTTTCTAGTCAAGGTCAGAGGAATAATTATGACTATTGAAGACCTAAGACTTCTTAGCTGAAATAGCTTAAGGCAGTAGTTCAGTTGAGAGGCTTTGTGCAATGGAACACTTGACATACTTCAAGTTGCTTTTTTTCAATTTTTTTTTTGTAAAGTGAAATGTTTGGTTTTTTTTTTTTTCCCTCTGTGCAAAGATATGTAGTTGCTATCCCTGCTTAGTTTCCTGTATGACTTGTCCTGTAACATTTCTTTTCTAGATAATAGTCTTTTCTGAAGGAGGGAGTTATTCTTATATGTTGTGAATTCTGAACTTCTCTGAATTAATTTAGTGTTGGACTTAAACTGTGCTGCATGTTTTTCATTCCTGTAGTCTTTCTTTTATGTTCTTGTTCAATATTCTCAAATTTCTATTATTTTTCCTAAAGCATGAATGCAAGAAATAAACACAGCAGTGCAGCATTTGTCTCCTGGTAATATAGATGGCACTGAAAAATGTGAAAAGAAAAGGATGTTACAATTTGTGCATCAAAGAATTTAGTGAATTCTTCCAGTGAAAGTGTTGTACTGACATTTGTGTTCTTTTAATTTTCTATGATTCTGGAGTTCTTTTCAGAGCTTTTATCTTCTGCTATACAATATCATTTATGTTGGAAGATAGTAATGTGACTCAGAGTTTCACCATAAACCTCTCAGCCTGAAAAAAGGTATTAAAAGGGCAGAATGTGGTCATAGAAAACTCCTCACTTAAGCAAGAAAAAAAAAAAAAGGAAGACTAGTAATAGGAAGAAGCTGCTGTTCAAACAGAACTGTCTTTTCTGTCTTCTCCTTGCCTGATCCTTTGACCTCAAATGTTCAGTGAGGAAATGAAAGTAACTTTTAAGTAGCTATTTTTAAAATAAGGTTAAATAAAATTATGAACTTTGAAACCTTTAAAATTCTGTCTGAGACTTGGTCAGTTTTCTTCCTCACTCATTTTCCTGAAGGGCTTTTAGCTGACAGAATGAAGAAAATTAATTTTATTTCTTCTCCTTCCTGTTGTCACTGTTACTTCCTCCTATGTAATGTATAATTTTGTTTTAATGCTCTGGGAAATAGCAAATTTGCTAGGCAGGTTGTGCTTTCTCTCCCTTTTCTGGATCTGGGTGTTGATTAGTTTCTTCACATCTTGCCAGTTCAACAGGAAAGTCTTGCAAAGTCCCAGTTTTGCCTCTTTCTCCTCAGCTGTGAAACTATTCTGTGATAGGTATGTGGCTTTCACTAGCTTTGGGAACAGAAGTAGCTGTGAATGCAGTTCTCTGTTACTTTTGAAGCAGGGGAATGTGTTCCAAATACCATGTGAAATTCTGTTTGTTTTGGACTTAATTACAGAGATGTCCATCTCCCTGAGTAGAAGGTGACTAAAGGCAGTGTCTCAGCATATTAGTGCCAGTTCTGCCAGTTTGAAGCAACAGGCTCTTAATTTTCTGCTGGGAAAAGCATCAGTGTATGTTTACAGGTATCTTAAGTGGCTAGGCTTGGAGATTGAGGTAAGATACTTTAGTTTACACTGTCACTGAATTTCCATTTGGGTGCCCCAAAATAGCCTCTTCTGTTTCCTTTTTGTCTTCTTAATTGCTGTGCAGGGTGCATTTAAATTGTATTGAGAACCCCAAAGGTCTATTTTCTTTCATCTTGTTTGTTTTAGCTCCAGGAATTTCTAATTATCCAGTAACTGCAGTCAGGTGTTCCATGAGTGATTTGAAATTAGAAATGTTTAGATTATTTCACAGCATAGTTTGGAAACAAGTTTCCAGATGTGCATTTCCCATGATTCTGTAGACAAATTTGAAGAGGGATTCCTACACTGAATTTACATAGTTTCAATACCTGGATTATTGAAAGAACTTCAGCAATTACATATCACTCTGCTTCCTGTGTGTGAGATAAAACACCTTTCTTTTAGGTTCACAGTCTTCATTATAAATTTTATTTATTTTGTAGCAAGAATTGGATAAATTGGGTAAGGTTAAAACAGTAATCGGTACCCCTGTTCTGTGAGTCTTGTTAAGCTTACCTGATTGAAATACTGGCATTCTGCAAGTGCCTGTGGAGGCAGGATTTGAGTAGTTGTTCCTGGATTAGTGTGTTACGCTATATATGTAAATTCAGCTTATGTATGTCATCTTGTTGAGAATTTAGTTGCTGAAGAGAGGAAAAATATTTTCATTTTTCATCTGTCCCTATCTCTGAATACAGCTAGCTTTTCATTGATATTGAAAGTTTGGTTAAAACCTTTTCTCCATTCCTCTTTCACTTTCTCCTAAAATAGTCACAAAGCTGAATTTATATATATTTTTTTTAATATTGTCTAAACTCTGAGTTTGGAAAAACTTGTTAGTGGCCCACAAATGTGTTTGGAGGCAAGTTCCACATAATTATACATGAAAGTTTATAAAATACCGTTTGAAACAAGGTGCGCTATTCTGCCACTCTGACAGTTCTGCTTTCCAGTAGATACTGAGAGCAAGGAGCCTCAGAAAGCAGTATGAAACATTATCCTCTTAGTTTTACCTGGTGGTATGTGTTTTTTCTTTAATTACACAGTGCCCAGATCCTTTATACAAATAGGATATACATGGGAGTCATCTCAGAAAAATACTTAGTTGATTAGCTGCAGTCATTCTTAGCTGGAAGCTAGTAAGTGTTAGAGGTTATTAAACCAAGCTGAAGAAAGGTAGCTCAGGCTCTGCAGACATGTAATTACTGATGTTAACGTGTTTGTTGTTGGGTAATCCATAGCATAGAGCAGCTAGGATATTATGGCTAAGAGAAGCTGATGCTTCTCTTACTTCAACAGACTGTGGATGTGCCAGCTTGGCTGCCGTGCAGGACTGTATCTCCGAAGGGGATTTGAGCTGGAATGCGTGTCCCACAAAGAGAGGCTGTGGGATGTTTCTGCCTTTTTGAGTTTTCGAAATGTGGCAGAAAAAGAAAAAGGTACTTAGTGACCTGAATGAACGTGGGAGTCAACCTGTCTGGGAGCAGGAGTTAAGGCTGAGGTGATCTGCAGAAGTCTTCTCCAATGTTGTTTTTATTATGATTCTAACTTGAAGCTGGTTACTCTTAGCGTTTCTCAGGCAAAAGTGTCCAAATCATAAATCACTGGGAGAATAATCAAATTTGAAATGAGTGGCTGAAACATTATAATATTTAATACCCAGAATGTTTGCAACTTGTTCTGTCTTTGATTGAGCCGTACAGAAGTTAAACGTCATTTCAGTCTTGTGCCAAGTGTTTATTTGGCTTAGCCTGAATACAGGGAGTGCGCTGTCTGGTTCAGGTATGGAAATGATGAGGAAAGGGACTGAAATAGTGTGAAAGTGTTTAGTGGGCTAGAGGTTTTTGCGTAGAGTGGAGCATGTAGTTGACTAAGATTAAGGAAAGTGGGGTTTGGTCATAGGCTTGGCTGGAGAACAAGGTAAGGTGGTATGATGGGATCAAGGGAAGGAGAAATTTGAAACTAACAAAGGCACTGATTAGATTATGTGAGAAGTAGTCAGATGTGAAGAGATGCATTTGGGGGAGTGAAAATATAATAACTTTTGGTTAATGGGTGCATTTAAAATGGGTATCTTCTTAGAGTTTTATGGACTAATTTGACAGGAACAATGTATAAATTGAAAGACAAGTAAAATAGGTGATACATTTGCACGTAAGTCATTAAAACTAAAAATATTAACAAAATTTAATGGTGTCTTTTTCTTAGTATCTTGCTCAGAGTTAAGATGCCTTGATTGAAATATGCATCCCTAAACCATCCAGTCACAGCTGTAGTTATTTTAATTATGAGGGCCCTGAAAGTAGTGATTTTGGGTTTATTGCTGCTGACAGGAATAGTCTTCGCAGTATGTGAAAATTAACATCTGGTCTTAACTTTTTTTCATGCTGATCATAAATAAGTTTAAGTGGTTAGTTTAAGAGCTTGTGGTTATTTTAGTAGTTAGCAAAGAGATGTGCATCGGTGTCAGCTGCTTTCAGAAGCCTGTTTCTATTGTGGGCTCTTACTTGATTTTCGTTCCAGTTATACAAATTCCTCAGACAAAGAGGAGTATTGATCTAAAAACTGAGCCTTTGTTTTAGCCTATCTACAACAGAAATGTCTACTTGGGCATTTGTATTTTACAAGCTTTCCTGCTTAAAAAATAATAAACAAGTAAGGACCAGCAGCAACTCCTGTTCATCGGAAGTACTTCCTAAAGCATGTTACCCTGTTGCTAACCAGATCTGAGGTGTTTGAGGCTTTATACTGCTCTAGAGTTGTGTGTAGTTTGTGTGCAGCAGGGTAACAATTTATAACAAGTGTAGAATATAGTCTTTTTAAAGAAAAAGGAAAACCTATTTTGTTTAATGCAGAGACATATAGTGCATGGTCAAAAATAATTTTGACATCTGTTCTCTGACATTTCATGGTCTGACATGCTAATGCCTGCAGGTTTGAGAACTCGGGCTTGAACTGGTGGTGCTTGTTGATACATTCATCAGTACACAGATTCTTAGACTGTATACTAATTTTCATTAGTTATGCAACCCTGATTTTAGAAAAATTACACATGCCCTTATGCCTTGTTTTCTAATGTTTTTTCTTTGAGTAGGAATTACAGAAAACATCTTTCTAGTGAGAAATTTGTAGTGTTCCTAAGTATCATCACAGTGAACAGATGTTTTTAATCAATTTCTCATGCTATACTTTGCTTAGGTCTGAGACTGTAAAAGAAATCTGGTGTACCTACTAGATGCTTATATTGAAACTTGAGAAATATCCTTTTCATATTTTCATAGTAAATGCTATATTCTTAAAATAATTTATTTATTTGCTAGATAAATCAGATAAATACGATTCTAGAGATGTGGAAAGACTTCAGCAAGATGATAAATGGGTTGAAAATTATCTGCTTTGGCGTCATGATGTGGTGGATGATGCATTAAAGATGATTGATGTAAGCTTTCAGTGGAGGAAAGAATATACAGTTAATGGTAAGCTATGTTGTGATGATTTTGATGGTGTGTGTTCTTTCCTACTGAACTACAGCTGACTTCTATGTGTAGTTCCATTTAAGCACCTTTTAAAGGTTTTGTAGATACCACAAAGGCCTGAGCAAGAACTTTTCTACTCAGTATTAAAAAAAACAAAACAAAACAAAACAAAAAAACTATTGCTTTTTATGTTGACCAGTGCTAGCTGACTGTTTTACTGTGGTTCCATATGCCTATAGAAAGGTTGTTTGAGGAAGACAGGAAGGCAGCTACCTCTTGTTTTGTCTTTGTGTGTTTGTTAGGAAAAAAAAACAACCACAAAACAAAACAACAAAACAAACACACACATACAAAAAAACTCAACCAACCAAACACTTAAACCCAAACAAAATCAATAACATTAAACCCCCCCAGTCAATAACACCACCCACAAAAAACAGGTCTCTGTTGTTCATCACAATAGCACTGGTCTGACACCCTAGGTAGAATAGATCTGGGTTTTGTGCTGTGACAATATTTTGAAGATGAGCTCTATCTATAGGATTTCACAATCTGAATTAAAGTATAGAGCATGAGAGGCTGCAGCTAAGAGCAAAAATAAATATTTACATTTTTTTCCTTACAACAATTTTTAATTCTTCTTTCTTACTAAATAGATCCTACTCTATAGCATGAGAGGAAGAAGTCAGTAAAGATTTCAAATGAGCTAAATATTTGCATTAGTTTAGTTAAAGGCCTTGCAAAGTGGTTTATGAAGACATTTGTTACTTGTTGCTGCATTTTAGTGGTTTCTGATAAGTTACAATGTGATTATTATGATTACTGAAACAATCTTTCATTTGGCTTTACAGACCTGACAGAATCTGTCCTTCCAAAATGGCTATTTGAAAGTGGTTCTATCTTTCTGCATGGATATGATAAAGAGGGCTATAAATTATGTAAGTTACACGGAATATACTACTTTCATTCACTGAACATTTTTTGATTCCAGCAGTTTAGCTTTTCTGTTGAAAAATAAAGGGTTTTAAAAATGAAGTAGCTACATATTGGCAACTGTTTTTACTGAAAAAGGTAATGTGGTAACTTAGTATCTCTTTGGATCTCAGAACTGTAATGAGGAAACTGTCAACAGTTTTCAAAAATCATGTCTTTTACCGTAATTATAATGCAGTTTAACTTCTCCATTGAAGTACATTGTTTCTGAACCTTCTGTGGTGAGTATATGACTAGTATAAATGCTCATTATTACAGTGCATTGTCATAGCAGCTCACATACTTGCAGGAGAGTCTGCAATGTTTATCTTGTTTTGTTTTGGTGTTTTTCATTTTTTCTGATGTCATTGGAATGTTAAGTAACAGCGTGGGCAGCTGAGAATTGTTGGAGAAATGAACTTCCAAGTGATTAACTTGTAGTAATTGAAGAATAAGATTTTTAGGGAAAG